GATCCGTCCCAAAGGCTATTTCTTTTACATGGGTGTTAGGAGCATAAGAAAGCTGAGATAGAGTCCATTCAGTGCCTRTAGTCAGGACTCTCGCGTAGTCTAAAGAATAAGGGAGTCCTTCTTCCCACTGCCAAGGTTATAGTTCCACATCTGCCCAGGGAAGTCTGCTTTTTTTTTTTTCCACGTAGGGCAATATGACAGCCTGGTTATGAGTACAGACTTCAGATTCGACCGGCTTGGTATTTAATCCCTCCTTTGCCATTCAATAGCTACGACAATGGGAAAGTTGCTTCACTTTTTTCTGCTTTGTATTCCTGACCATGTAACAGTTGATGAAGAAAATATGAAACAATAGTTTATTGAGTAATTTTAAAGGAACATCTTTGTAACTTATAAACTAGTAATAAATGAGAGCTTATAAAAAGAAGAATTAACCAGYAGTGCAACTGATTTAGCAAATGCCCTCTCCCTATGTCTCTGTGATCTAATCTCTAACACAGATCTGATGTGTGGTCCCCGTGCCTTCTAAAGTTGGGCGATTCTRAGGTCCCATAAGGAGACACAAGAAATCAGGACAGGATGGAATAAGAACCAGGGAATTTCAACAAGGAAAGCTGAGCCTGCACCGCCATCTAGCCTGCTCTGCACCACCCCTCTGTGTGTGCCTCTCCACCATGCTTGAGCATCTTCTTCTTTTTATTTTTTTAAAGTATAATTACCGGAGCTTATGTTTCACAGTTAATGCTGTCAAGCCTTTTAAACTAATTGGTCTTTTATAGAAAATTTAACTGAAAATTAACACATCTTTTAATAACATTGCCTTAACTTTAATGGCACTCTGCCTTTCGTTTATAATTGCTCTAAAATTGTCATTTTCCATGTCATAGCTGCCATTTTTTATATTTGCTAGTTTTCACGGTGTAGATTTTTATTTTTAGTATTTTTCTTTCTTGAGGGATGAGAACTATTGGATTATTTTTTCCTATCCCGGGCCTGCCTGGCCTGATGTGATAGCAGGGGTATATTCTCAAGTCCAGCAGAATATCCCTGCATTTATCTCTTAGATCCTATTAGACTGATGCTGTCCTGCTATCTTGGCAAAGACCGTGGACACTCTTTCTGCCTCCTTGTGAGCAAAAGAAGTGGAAGCTCTTGAGTAAAGTGTAAGAAGTGGGGCCATAGAGTAGCAATTGGCTTATGTCTCTGAAATCACACGGGGCTGGTTAGCTTGGGCTGACGTTGAGCTCATCAAGGGGTTTGGCCCTTAATGAAAATATAGTTTACACATTAAATCATGTGGACCATTTTCCAGTGGTCATCTCTTCCAACCTTTCTAACTTAAATCCAGATATTTCTGGAAAATAGAGGCCAGTTCACTGATATTAGAGATGAGAACATGGAGATGTTGCTTCTGGACATTCCTGAAGTATATACCCACTTTGCTCCTAAACCTCATCATTCAAACTATTTCATGTACTTCAAATGTATTTTCCTTATATGCCATTGTTAATTTATTCCCTTACATAGTCACTACCCTTGCTTAGCCCACTAGAAGCACAGTTTAAATGACAGGAGGGCAGGGTCTGTGTCTTTCTTCTTTTGCTGAATCCTCAGCATGGGGAACAATTCTTGCCATTTACTAAGTGCTCAATAAATCAACATGAAGAACAGTAACAGGGTTAAATAGGTGGAGGGCTTACCATGTACCAAGTGATACACTAACCACTTTACAACCTTAAACACTGCTCATCTCACAACCCCTAAGTGATAGTATGTTTATTGTCCCCATTTTAAATAAGAGCAAACTGAGGCACAGAGAGGTTCAGGTTGCACAGCCAGTAAATGGTGATGCTGGGGTCTGCATCTAGTCTGCCTCTTGAGTCCATGCCTTAGGTTGTCTTTATAGAGAGTCCTGGTAAAACTGAAGTTGGTGTTGGGGTTAAAAGGAAAGTATTAGGATGGAGAGGACTTCCTTTCATCGTGTGTGTGTGTGTGTGTGTGTGTGTGTGTGTGAGAGAGAGAGAGAGAGAGAGAGAGAGAGAGAGAGAGAGAGAAAGAGAGCGAGAGCAAGCTTGGACCATCCTGAAAATATAGTGATCTCTTCTTGGAGGCTAAACCCATAAGCACAATTATTCTGTCTCCTAGTGGGTTTCTGCCATTGATTTGTAGGATAAAGCCACAAGACCACATCTGTAGCACCCCTATCTATTCCAGGAACACCCGTGATGAATCAAAACATTATTCTTTTAACAAATGAAGCACTGAGCAGCAGGAGTTGAGTTATGAAGGCCAATATTCAGGGAATGTTTAGACACATGATTAACTGGCAATTTGGGAARTGTGCAGGATAGAAGAGACCATCAGCATCTATGGAGATTGGTGTGGAAGTCATGATGGTGCTTGTGAGCAATGCCTGAGATGCAAGCTCACCTCTGTCTCCTGCCATTCAAAGGAGTTTCGCTTTCTCTATATTTCCGCCCACTGAGTCCAGGCACTGCCTTGGTACTTGACTGATCTGCTTYTTCATACATTAGTGGAATGCGGGGAACACATTTTCAAAAAGTCTAGATCCTATTGAATGTGCTGAACTAGACCCAATCATCACTATGGAACTTGTTCATCCCAGACAATACAAATACGGTCTGGAACAATTGAATAGGCTTTTTGACAAATGATTTGAAAAGTCACTATCAGTAGACAAGTTAAATCTCTGGCCTCAACACTTAAGCCAGGTTTATTCTCGACTCCCTAGTGATGTAATAAAGAGCTGTGCAAATCAAATCCAAAAGTGCCCCCACCACCAGGCCATGGCCACCATAGGCTCCTTTGATTGTGTAGAAGCTCTCTACTATTTATCCAATTGCATTCCTTGGAACTAGGGCTAGGTCCATGGGTGTTCAACCTGTGAGGTGCACAGGATCTACATTTTCAGATCTACATTTTCCGGGTCCCTCACTTGGTTTAATATTCTSTTGTCACCATTTTGAAATTCTTAGTAATTTATGAAAAAGTAGGCTTGCAAATTAGTAGCTGGTTCTGCTCAGAACACACTCAATATTTGATATGTACAAACAAATAATTATATAAATCTGAAGTTTTAAAAATTCTAATATTTTATAATTCTGAAAACAAGATCTACTATAACCAACAGCTTAATCATCTCTTAGAATAGTATTCTGAAAACTCTATAATTAGGATAAGAATTCCAATGACATTTCTAAAGAGATGAATTACCCAAAGTCCATTGGAAACCTGGATTTGGAGAATGCTGAGGCCTGTTATATAGAATCTGGTGCTCTAATGAGCTTCTATCATTCCTTTTGGCCTGCTCAAAGAGTCGGCCCAAACCAAGTTCAACATCACTGGCAGGTAGAAAGATGAGCCCCGGTATCATCGGCTAGGTTAAGAGCCTAAGAAATGCCCTTCTCTAGGGAGTGTATTTTTCTCCTTGTTGGCTTGGAAAATGATGGCAGGGCATGCAGCCCAGTCAAACTTAATTCAGATGAATGCTATTTCTTAATTATTTTTAAATCCATAATTCTGATTTTTAACTAAGATATGCTTACAGTTGAACCACATTCAGGAATATAGAATAATCTAAATTAGTCTTTAAAACTCTGTTTTTTTCTTTCCTCAAATAGAGGTCCTTCTGGGATTAGCTCTAATGAATAGATGAGAATAATGTATAATTAGCATATCAGTTGTTTAACACGTTCAAGAGGAAAACCTTGTTGAGCAGTTTAAGAAATGTATGTGTATAAAAATCTCTGAGTTACGTTTATGGTTTTAATGTGTTCAATAAAGCTCTTTTACATGGATTCTCCAAAGGTCAGTTTTTATCCAGCCTATGTCTGCATTTTTGCAAATTGTGAATTCGATGACTCCAAAATAGAGAGGATTTTCAATATAGTAAATAAAGACACTCAGCGGGAACACTTCACAATACCCAGGTTATGACCCATTCTAAATGTCTGCTTTTACCTTTTGCAGTGAAAGATGACTCCATTAAGCGGGGATCTATTTTTTTAAATTGTTATTCGTTTTAGGTTGCAAAAGTAAGACAACAATGCCTTGACAATCTGATACACATCAAGCCATTTAGAAAAATGTTTTGATCTATCAGCCAGCTTGCCCCCTCTCTTCATCATCACTCTGTCCCCTCCCTGCATCAGAGAACCACCCAGGCCTGACTTTCAGGCCTGGGCTGCTGTCTCAGTGACAGGCAGTGACTTGGGAATCACCCTTGACCCAGTGTCCTCTCTACTTTCTGCTCAGTTCATTGTATTCTGAAGTTTTATCAATTTTATTAACATATGCTACTCAAATCCATCCATCTTTCCCATCTCTACCATCTCTACCCTAGTTCAAGCTATGATGGCCTTGTACTCAGGTTTCCTGATGCCACCTTACTCCTCCAAGCCATGTTCAGCAGACCAACAAGGCAAACCCCTCAAAACACAAACCTGATTACATCACTTTGTAATTTTAAAAACTTTCGCCTCCTCATTACTTTTAAGAAAAAAACCAAAACCATGAAAATGGTTTTGAGATCTTGAGGTCTGATCTTGGTCTGTCCTCCCCAGCCCTTTCTCATGGTGGTCCAGCTCACCAGCTCTCTGTGACTTCCTTGAGAGAGTCAGTTTCCTCAGCACTATTAGGCCTTTGCATTTGCTTTTATTCTTCCTTGGGGAATACTCTTCCCAGAAAATGTCCCTCTCTTTATGGTTCACATTTTGGAATAAAGTATATATCACTTCCTTAGGGAATCTTTCTCTGATTCCCAAGAGCAGGTCATAGACTTCCCTGCACTTTGAGGAATATATAACCAAATGTTTGCTCCATAACCCTTTGATTAATGTTGGTACTCCCTTCTGGACTGTAATCCTCATGAAGCTTTGCTCTCTGCAGGAGTTGCAACTCCAGCTTCCTACATCAGAGGTAGTCCACCACTGGGTGCACCCTCAACCCCTGGCTAGGAAGGAGGGAGCTAGACCACTCACCGCGCTCATGAGTGAGTCCAGGACACTGACGGCAAATGCTGTCCCACATGCAAAGGGCTGCGTGAGGTACAGTTCTGTGTCAGGGTCATCGTCATCGTCTTGGTCCAAAAACTGAACATTAGTATCATTCACTAGAAAAAGCATAAGAAAAGAATTAGCACTGAAGAACACACCTGGGTAGCAAAGCCTAGAGACACTGGTGTAGAAATAGGTGACGGGTGTAGAAACACTGAAGTCACTGAAAAGGAAACAAAAGCATGGGAAGCTGTGGATGGATCTCTGGAGGGGGCAGTTGGACTCAATGGACTGCTCCTATGGGACTRTTCAAATTTCTAAGACCTGGAGAGCAATGAGATCAAGCAGACTTGCTGCACAGCAGGCTTCTGGAGGACCAGGAGACCGTGCTGGCCAGTTCTTTGGTATAGTTTTAGAATCATGACAGAAAAACACTCTGAAGCATTTTTTGGTAGCCAAGTCCTTTGAGAGATGGACATATWTCAGTGATGAGCAACCATGCTGGCAAGGTAAGTTTAGCCACAAAGAGGAAAAAAAAAGCAACATATTCAGAGGAAAAAGCAATGAACTGGGAGCAGGGCAAAAGCAAACAGCAAGGAATTCATCCTCAGGCATAACCCACAGCCTGCCCTGGGGATTGCCCTGGGTGGTGCTGGTGGCCTAGGGCTCTGAATCCAAGCCCACACCCAACAGGCCCTGCTGAACCTCCAGGAACCCCCAGGTGGGATGCATCCCTTCCCCACCCCACTGCTTGCTGACAAAGACTTTCTCTGAGTTCTGAGTTGCAAGGCTACACCCACGTTCTCCCTTTCCCTTCTAAACAGCTCAATCTTTTCTGTTTCCACTTAAGCAGATACAGCCCTGGCTGCTGTATTTCATCTCCATCTGAGGATTCCTCAAGGACTCCTCCAGCACACACGTGCAGACTGATTAGTTGTGTCACTCAGATGTCTTTAACTTATTAAAAATTAAGTGACAAATTAATTTCCATTCCCATCTTGGCTTCAGAAATTATCACTTTTGCAGAGCAAGTAATAGGGGAAAAGTATGGGGATGGGGAGGGGGTACTTGTGATTTCTGGAACAATTATTTGTTTTTAGGGAGAGGACAGATGAGGTTTCCTTTCCCTATTCTTTTTTAAAATGTATCAGCAGATATTCCCTTTCCTAGAGTTATTGTTTTAATTTTTTAAAGTAACTTTCCTGATAACTTTTCTTAAAAGAAAAACACAACTTTTGTCTATTGCATGAGGCAGAATAAATGATGATAGGATAAAAGGCTAGACATATAATTGTTTTTAAATGATGCCATTTTTTTCCTTATAGAAAGACTGTAATGGGGGAAAATCTTTGCTCTGTTTTCCCAAAGTTCACTGCTTTGGGTCCCTATTGTCTTAGTAGTATACATACAAGTTACAGGGTATTGGGTAAAGTCCAAAATCCAGATTCTGGGACATCTGGGCTTTGAGTCAGGCTCTGTTACCAAATTCCTTGGGCAAATTATCTTAAGAGCCTATCCTTTAGGTTCTCTCTCTGTAAAGTGGGGAAATTATACAGCAGCCCTATCCTAAGGTTAGTAAGAAGCTCATAAGAGATCATGCTGGTGAGCTTGACCCAACATTTGGATCAGGTTATGCACTAGATCAATGGAGGTTGCTTTCTTGATGGCCACCTTTCTCCTTTATGACATCAAATGTCTATCAACCCACTGCATTTTGAAAATGCTTACTTTCTCTCTGCCTTTCTCAAGACACTAAAGGCTTGCTTATGGATCCTTCAAGTGGTAGATGTTTCTTCATCTCCTTCCCCTTGTCCTGTTAAATTGAATTACGTTTGGCCTAAAGCTGCTTCAATGCAATTTAAGTTTTGGCTAAAGGTGTCTCCATACATAGTGAACTGTAACTTAACATGATGCATGAAGCAGACTATAACTTATTATTGCAACAAGGAGCTGAGTGCTACCCAATCACAAGTGACCACATAGTCTAAAGAAGACAGACACCACCAATACCCAATAAACTGTCTCAAAACTTTACTTATGTGTTCCCTATGTCACTTTTCTGACTGTAAATATAGCCTGTCCTTATGGTAGGATCCAGCATTATAAACCATTTTGGTCTATTGCCCATTCTAGAATCATAAATAAGCCAATTCAGATTTCAAAACCTGATTTGTTGCAATTTTTGTCTTCTAATTGTCCAAAAGTATATTGTTGGTCAGATTAGTGTTTCTCCTTTGGAAGGCTCTCTGCACACAAAGAAAAAATCTGGTATGGGAAGGACTTTAATATTTCTCTATTGACTTTCTCTGAGAGTCACTTATGTTTATTGAATACCTGAATTTGCTGCTTCAGATTTATAGCACAAAACTTTCTTTTCTCTTCCACTAATCACAAATCAGGATATCCCATTTAGTTAGCAGCATGTGAATTCCAAAGAGAAAGAGAAACTTCTGGCACTGATGTTTTTGAAATGTTGCTGTAGGTTTTTGAGATGGAAGTGTTTGAATAAATTTTCCAACCAGAAATCTGGGCCACGTGAGCTCTCCAGGTCTCTTATGGCCCTACAGTACTGAAAAGAGCAATCTAGAAACCTAGGCTTTTAACCAACTACGCTAACCATGAAAAAGACACCTCTCCTATGGTTGGAAACAGAAAATAGTGCAGTACTCTTTGACCTGAGTGAATCTGGCCTGATAAATGGCTACGTCTACAATAATGCAGGGCTGAATGGTGGACAATTTATTCCCTAGTTTCTAGACACCTCACAAGCAAGATTACTGTGTTAAAAGCCTGCTTTCTTATTTTGAAATATATTTTGGGGCCAAGAAAATGGAGTGTRCATTTCGTCTGTGAGTCATCTGAAGGCAGGTGCTCCCACCTCTCCATCTACCCCTCTGCTGAGCAGTACTTTCACTGTCTCTATTTAGAAGATCAATCCCCAGTTCTGAGACCTGCTGCTGATGAGTGCCCTTCACGGAGTTATTAACCAAGTCATGGGGAACTATGGAAGGGCCTGACAAATGCAGTCATGACCAGAGGCCTTAATCTTCTGGACAAATCTAGGAGGGTGGGGTCAGCRTGCTGGATCGCTAACCTCCTCTTCTGCACCCTTCTCAAAATCTGGCTTTAGTAAGGAAGGGTTCCCCTAGGAAGCAGCTGCTTTCATGGCTTAAGAACCAGAGCTTCTGAGAAAGGGCCTAGTAGGGGGAAAAAAGGCAAATAAAGTCAGAATAAAGGAAAATAAACAGCTGGAGGGAAGCACCATCTTAGGTTTCTTATCTTAAAATTTTTATATTTCTCCTTTGACTTCCTCTGAGAGCTGTGAAGATGTGTCAGTCAAACTGACAGCGTTGGAAGAGGAAGATAGGGAGAAGGCAGGAGAGCAGGGGCACGAGTGGGAAAATAAAATAAAATAAAAAAGGCTTGGGCCACAGAAAATGAATCAGAGYAAAGATGCTTTGGAAACAACTGCCAGGTCAGATGGGTGTGATCAAAGGTTTACTGATGCTGTGTGGGGAAAAAAATCATTAAGAAAGGCCAGAACAAGACAGTCAATTCCAACCAGAGCCACAAATAAAACGCATTCAAAGCAGTGCCATGGGGTAGCCTTTCTGTTACAGCCAGTGAAATAAAAAAACAAGCCAATGATTGTTGGAAACACCAAGAACAGAACAAAAGGAGATACTGATGTCAAGGAAAATAGCGCTTCTTACCCAGTTCAGTTATCATTAGAATGTGCGTTCCACTGTTTTTTTCCTGATTGACTGATACCAAAGGCAACTTGCCCGGTTTAGCTAATTGGATWCAGCATTTAAGGGATGGGGAAAGGGAGTGGAGGAAAGTACAAAAAAAGAAAAGTGAGGGAATAACAGAGGAAACATTCTAAAGCAAAGGGACCCAGGACCATGAGCAGTTTGCATTTGTCTTAGGGGAAGAGTCACTCCCCTAAGTTTGCAAATTTATAAATGATAGCACRGACCTGCCATGGACAGGTTAGAAGTGGGATTCCATTGGCCAATGAATATGGCCCCCCTCAAAATCCCATCATTTTTAAAACCATAGTGGCCATTTTCTGCAAATGGTCTTTGGCTGAGATGTTCAACTAGAACAGATCAAATGTGAAGTTGTTACATCTTAGCCAATGCTTCTACCCAGTTCTCCATGTGAATTTGGGTAGACCTGACATTTTGAGGATTCAGATTGTGGAAGCTGTCCAGAGAGAATGCTCAAAAGAGGTGCTTCCAGTGGAAATTCATGAGAAGGAATCCGTAGWGATCAACCGAATTTCCTCCTTTCTTCCCCTTTACCAAATACATGCCCTGATCTCAAAGCCATCATATCATGCTCCTTTGAAAACAGTGAACAGTATGAAGGAAACAGTCTATTCATCTCAGAGAAAAGACAGATCAGATTTTCCTTCAGGTAATCTGCCATATTTCTTTCTACCCCTGCCCCTGTCCAACTACACAGCAAACAAAACCCATTAAGAGGCTGAAAGAGCAAAAGGTAGGCCAACCTCCTTATATCCTGAATGGTCTGGAAAAGAGGACAAAAAAATTCCCCCCAGAGCCAACAATGACCCCCACCTAGTTCAGTGATGATGGGTATGTTGACCCCAGTGGTGATGGATGGCTGGCGTAACATCCCGTGCACTGGGCTGTTATCCGGAGAGGATCTGTCCATTCCTGGAGGTGTGAATCCTAGTGGCAAGAAAACAGAGGAGGAAGAAAAATTAGAGAAGTGGAAAATTTGGAAATATTGAGAGTACAGTTTATATATACAACCCCTAAAATGTAGCTTATGCATTACTTAGAGGTCAACAATTTTCACTCCCAGGATAAACTCAGATGGGTAATTTTTTAAAAGGACAAAGTAGGAAATCATTGTAAATAATTCTAACTYACTTTGATTGTTCTCTAAAAATCCAGACTACCCCAATTATTTATTCCTTCTTACAGATTTCAATCCCCTCTCCTTTCTGGCACATAGGAAAATTGACCTCTGTCCCCTTGGAGTTAGAGAGGACCATGTGACACCTGAAATGCTCTGGCCCATGACAAGTGAACAGAGCAATGCAGATCACTTCTGGTACAAGTATTTGACTTGCTGTCTTTCTATCCCAGGCCACGACAACTGTGGGGGCACAGGTTGCAATGAAGGTCAAGTGTAGACAGGAGCCCTGGACAGTTGCCCAGACTCACAAAGCAATCTGTCCAAGTGAAAAACAAAGCTGCATTGTTTTAAACCATGGAAACTTGTTTGTTTGTCACTGTTGTCYTTACTCCAGCACACCTAATCTCTCCTGACTGTTATCTTAAACCAAGTGATTGCTTTTCCTCCTGCCAATCAGTGACTGGCTTGGGTTTTGACACAGTGCTGGACAATGGAAGGTGGGGTAGGGGGAATCTTGACTGGGGCTTTGAAGAATTGCTTCTTTGCTCTTAAAAAGAAGAGATTTTCATTTAATACACTGAACATCCTTATGTGTGCCTCCAGTCCTGGACCTGTGGCAGCCATCTTGCAAATAGGATGAACACTGGCTCAGTACCAAAGCACCTTCATGATACTGACTGAAATGAATCACAGAACTGTCCGAGTTCCTGAGATAACTACCCAGGAACCACCCTAACTTAGTTTCCTAATATGTGAGATTTCATACACACACTGAGTTTCTCTTTTCTTTCTCTTTCTCTCTTTTACATGCTTACACATGGCATAATATTTTTACATATATAWGCACAACATAAAATATAATATTTTTGTTTAAGCCAAATTGAGAAGGAATTTTCTATGTTTGCAATTACCGTGATAGTAGGAGCAAATGTGACTCCATTTTGTTTTATGACTTCATCCTGTAAAACAACCATGCCAAGTAGAAGAGTCATGACTGGAGCAAGATGTTCTTTTCCTTTTGCTATAGAAACCTTTAAGAACACGGAACTACCTAATGGGGTATTGTTTCTGTATCTAGGGTAATGGGGCTCTGTTTCTGTAACTGGGGTGACTGGGCTAACTGTGATTGGTTAGGCTTCCCTCTGCTTGACTGCACTGTCCCGCTTTTGTAACCTGGCTTGCTTGCATTGGCTAGACCCCCTGAACATCCCTTTTGCGGTTTTCAGGCTTATAAGGAGTGCCCTTGCAATTGTTTGGGGCTGATCAGGGGAACAGCTTTATGTTCTGGTCAGCCGCCACCGGTGTGCTTCAATAAAGGCTTGATTCAATTATACGTGAGTGGTCTGGAAGTCAGTTTATGAAACCCTGGGATGAAGATTTAACTATAACACTACAATCCTTCCAACTGATAATACATGTCATTTGTTTACTGTGGATCCATTGAATTTCTCAGGGGGTCCAACACCAATATCTTAAGGCAGATGTGGGTACAGAAAACCTGGAAAGCAGCTGCTTGGTTTATGATTTTGCAGTTTGAGCATCCTTGGGTCTCAGGCCCAAGACCTGAGAACATGAGCTTGGATAAATCATAACTTCAGAGAGAATAAGAAAGGATCCCAGATAAGTCCAGGGACTACCTCTCAGGACATTCATAGAGACACATAAACACRAGAAAATTACTTGCCTCATACGTTCACTTGTTGAAAGTTAATTTTTCCAGTTGGATATGAGACTCAATTTGCTACCCCACCTTGGGAGACAGGCAAGTGCTCACATTGATTTTGGATTCTTTTTGTCCTCGGTGGATTGCCACACATACTTATCCAGGAATTAGGGACTTATGGTTCAAAGTCATATGCTACATTACCAGGAAAAAAACTTCAAATAGATTATATGACCAGATTTCTGACTCACTTTCCAGTAATGTGACAAGATTGGACTGAATCTAGCATTTTGGCTATGCATGAATCAGGAATAAAATGACAGGTGCTCAATAATTGCCTGTTGTTTGGAGAAGGTACCTATGCATGAAATGCCAGAAAAATATAAAAGGRCTTTCTTATTTTCCACTCTCCCATGTATCAATTTCATATCAAGTGCCAGACTTTCAGGAAGAAAACTTTTATTTAGTATCCATTCCCTAATTGCACTTAATTTTATTCTTTATGATAATATACTGTGAACAGAGCAAGTCATTTTGAAAGACAGTCTAGTGTCCATCTTCCTGAACTTCTGACGGTATGTTTTTCAGCCAACCTCATAACCAAGAACATGCATTTTAAATGCTAGCTGTTTTCTTCCCTAGAATAGTGAAGGGGAAAACTAAACTGTTTTTATCAGAAGTTTCATTCAAAAGCATGAAAAACTGCAAGTGGCAGCTGTGCAGATTCAGTGGATGTGACGTTTTTGAATTTCTTCAACTTGACAAGTAAACACCTTAAATCGGTAATGCTATATGCATAATACATGGCCTGTATTTTGACATCCATCATCAAATGCTGACTTGAGAAAATACGGGTTTGTACGTCAAGGAATAGCACCCATAGAGCAGGGAGAAATGCAGGTCACACGGTATTAGGAAAACTGTATTTCATTACAGAATCTGCAACAAGCCAAAGCATCCTTTTATTTTATCTTATTTAAAGATTCCATTTTCAGCTGTGAAAAGACTCAATTCCTTTGCATGAAACCTTCATTTAGAAATGACATGCTTGCTTCCTAGGCCTCTTTCATTTTGCTTTCATATTCCATTTTCCCCTTCAGTCACCAAGCCTGGTTCCATTAGCATCTGCAACTGACAAACCATGGAGGGTGTCCAAAGACATCCCTCCATCGAAGGTCTGTCTCTCCCCATCCCCGACCCCAAGAGCAGTGTGCTTTGGTTGGCAAGAAAACTTCAGCAATACTAATGGGTTGTCTTATGTTTCTACTTTTCTGGTAACACATTTTTTTTAAAGCAAAAGACAATAACAACCCAATTAAAAAATAGATTTTCCCTTTTTCCTCTCATGTAGAGTTGTGTTAAAGATGAACAGAATTTACTAGCATTATTTTTTTTTCATGGGGACCTTAATATGGGAAAATTCTGGTCCTTCTCAGATTCCCTAAGGAACCTTGGAGCGAAGGGATACTCGGGTGCCTTCCATTAAAAGGAAGAGGTAATCTGGCCTCTGATGCCACATGGTGGCATTTTTCTCCATTCTTCACAAGAGGTTGGTCTCAATTATTGACTGAGGGATTGGTCTCAATTGTATCCAAGCCTCTGATTATTTGGCTCCCCACTCTTTTATTGCAACAGCACTGGGTACATGTTTGGTGGTACTTTGTATCTCTGTGGAAGCAGTGCTTGAGAGAACTGGCACATGGAATGTACTCCGGGATGTACAGCTAAGGAACAGCAAATCCAGGAAACCGCCCCTTTGTTTGTTAGTAAACTAACATTTGGGAAATCAATTTTAGAAACAACTCTCTATTTTGCTACAAGAAATGACTAAGAATGTTAGCATTAGAGAGAGAATAAGAAGTCCTAAACAGAAAAAAAAAAAAAGAAGAAGAAGCAGATTCAAGTTTAATTATCTATAGCTCTAGCTCTCACTGATATGGGATTCTGAGTCTTTAGATGTGTTCCCATTGCCTCTGTAGGGCATGGCCAGGGGAGGCAAGTTTCACACTAAAAATGACTTCCAAAGATCATCTCATCTCCTTCAAGTGAAGGTTGCTCCCCTTTCCAGACTTTAGTGACAGATATGATAGGCATCCACTACCTCTTCTATTCATTTGGCATCAACTATAGATGCCTTCACCACCACTATCTCAAACCAAGTATTTTCATTCTATAGGCCAAAGACTCAGTTTCCTATTTCTTTGAACTTCCCGATTATCCACAGCCTCCCAAGCTGCTGGGTTTACAGGTGTGCACCACCGTGCATAGCGAATTAAAACGAATTTCCACAATGAGAAAATCTTGGAAAATTAATAAAAAGGCAAGAAGAAATACATGTACAGAAGAAATACACTGGGATAGTTAAGAGTATGAGCTTGAAGTTAGATGTCGTGGCTTCAATCTGGATCACCTACTTCTACAGGTGTGCACCACCGTGCATATCGAATTAAAATGAATTTTCACAATGAGCAAATCTTGGAAAATTAATGAAAAGACAAGAAGCATTGTAGATATGTTTTGGTATAAACAATCATATCATTCCTGTGATAAAAATTCAGTCCAACATATCCAAGGAAAAAGGAGTTTGGATATGGGGAAGACTGGTATTTTGTTTAGGTATATTAGAAAACTGGTGGCCAGTCTCCATGTAAGAAAGGTTCTTCAATTCTTCTAGCTGTTGCAGAATCTCTCTGGAGCCTCTGTTTTCTAGATGGAATTTCCCGCCTCCATTAGCTATTTGAAAGCACCAACTTTTCTCTTAAGCTTCTCGGCTCTTAAAATGGTTTTGCTACCCTCCACGTTCTTTGGCATCATTTGTGCTCTTGGTCATATGTAGTCCTGCTGGGTTCAGCTTGAACTTACAATCAGCAGCATCTGATGTCCTTCCCATGATATTGGTTATTCCAGAGGCTGACTGAGCTGGGCCTCAGGTTAGGGAAGGTTAAGTGCCCTTTAGCAGACATTCAGACAATGGGATTTCATTTAGGAGGTCTTAGAATTAAACAATTTAATGGACACTTGATCTATTCCTGAGAAGTGTGCAGACAAAAACATGGAAATAATAAGGAGATCATCAAGCCTTCATTTTTTAAAAATGAGCTGTTTTGGACTTCTGCTATATGCATGCATGCATGAACTGTATAT